TATATAAACTAATCAATATATTAATTCATTAGTATATATATTAATATATAGTATATGTTAACATATATACTAATTCTTATAGTATATATAGCATATTATATGCTTATATATACTAATCAATATATTAATTCATTAGTGTATATATATAGTATGTAAATAAATACACTAATATATTAATTCATTACTACATATATATAGTATATCAAATGTTAATATATACTAATTAATATAATAATTAATTAGTACATATATTAATATATAGTATATTATACGTTAATATATATACTAATCAATATATTAATTCATTAGTGTATATATATTGTATGTAAATACACTAATATATTAATTCATTACTACATATACATAATATTTCAAATGTTAATATATACACTAATTAATAGATTAATTCATTAGTATATATATTAATATATATTAATATATATATGTTAATATATATACTAATTAATATATTGATTAATATATACATATACAGACACATATAAAGAGAGAGCATATTATACGCTTATATAAACACTCATCAATATATTAATTCATTAGTGTATATACAAACACACAAACACACTAACTAATATACTAATTAGAGGTGGTCACAATGGAAAATGCGGCAAAACTTTCTAGGAACCAGGGATGGAATTACATTAAATTAAATCCAATCTTGCAAACCTATCCTTGATACAAGGAAAGTGAGATATATTTTTTTGGGAAATTTTAGAGGAGCCAGAACTAGAATAACTCTATAGAATCCAATGCAGGGATTCAAACCTCAATATTGTATGCTTGAGGCATTAATATGCATCTGTATTATTGCCTAATGGAAATTTGGAGTAGTTTAAATCCATGCAACACACAAAGGACAAATCCACACTGAGACTCAGGTGTTCCTTTTCTCTTCCAAAACCAACCAAAATCCTCCAAGCTCCCAAACAAACCCATCCTTCCTTTATCCCTAATTAAATACAAAACAAACCAACACAAAACAGTAGAAAAGTCTGGATCAACATCATTCATAAAAGTTTACAAAACCTTTTGCCTTCTTATCTACAGAATTGTTCTATGTACACAGAGGGGGGAAAAAGAGCGACGCAGCAGGGCAGATAAACAAACAAACAACCACGCATTTTGCTGCAAAATGCAAGTATTGCACTTGGTAGTTTTTTTGGAGACTTCACCCTGGAATTATTATGATTATTACTATTATATTCAAGAAAAAGAAGGGAGAAAGAGGAGAAATAAGTGATTCTTATACAAATAGACTTTGTTCCCAAATGTTTTGGGAAGAAGGTGGGTTGCTGTGTGCCGTCCTAAGAAAGCGTGAGGATTTTAAAAAGACGTGGGGAATCTATGGGCAAAAACCGTATGGTGCAATGCAATGATGCTTTGATGCATCTTCTGCTTTGATGCATCTTCTGCTGGGTTTGCACCAAAGTCTCAGAAAACAATTGGGTGCAATGCAACGATCAGGTGCAATGCAACGATCGGGTGCAATGCAACAACCAGTTGCAATGCAACAACCGGGTGCAATACAACTGGGTGCAATGCAACAATCAGGTRCAATGCAATGATCCGGTGCAATGCAACGATCGGGTGCAATGCAACGATCAGCTGCAATGCAACTATCAGGTGAAATGCAATGATCCGGTGCAATGTTGCATTGCACTGCACTGCACCTGATTGTTGMATTTTACCCTGTTGCATTGCACCTTATCGTTGCGATAAGGTGCAATGCAACAGGGTAAAATGCAACAATCAGGTGCAATGCAATGATCCGGTGCAATGCAACGATCGGGTGCAATGCAACAATCAGGTGCAATGCAACAACCAGTTGCAATGCAACGATTGGGTGCAATGCAACAATCAGGTGCAATGCAACAATTGGGTGCAATGTAACAACCAGGTGCAATGCAACAACTGGGTGCAATGCAACCAGGTGCAATGCAACTATTAGGTGCAATGCAATGATCCGGTGCAACGCAACGATTTGGTGCAATGCATTTTCTTCTGCTGGGCATTGAAATTTGCAATTCTGCTGGAGATCCGACCAAGTCTCCCAAACCCATTGACTGCTGGATGGAACCATGGTTTCTCCAAGCAGTTGCCATCCCTTTGGAAAGGCCTTAGAATTGTCACCAATCCAGTGTAATGCATTTTCTTCTGCTGTGGTTTGGAATTTGTGCTTGATGCTTTGTTGCATCTTCCACTGGAGATGCACCAAAGGCTCTGGAAGCACCATAAACTCTTGGAAGGAACCATAGTTTGAGAAGGTGGAAAGGTCTTGTAGCACAATGCATTTTCTTCCGTCGAGGTCTGAAATTCGCTCTCAATGCTTTGATGCATTTTTCACTGGGGATGCACCAAAGTCTCCGAAAACACCACAAACTCTTGGAAGGAACCATAGTTTCGCTGAGAAGTTGGCATCTCTTTGGAAAGATCTTGGAACTGTTGTCAATTCATCACAATCCAAGCAGTTGACATCCCTTTGGAAAGGCCTTGGAGCTGATGTCAATCTAGCATAATGCATTTTCTTCCGTCGGGTTTGAAAGTCGCTCTCAATGCTTTGATGCATCTTCCACTGGGGATGCACCAAAGTCTTTGTAAGCCCTATAAACTATGATGTCTGCAAGACCTTTGCATTCCTTCAACAAAAGTCCCTGAAAGTTCTACAAACTATAGGATGGAACCAGTTTCTCTAAACAGTTGGCTTTGGAGATGTCGCCAATCTTGCACAATGCATTTTTCATAGCTGAGCTTTAGAAACTGCAATGTAATATATTGCTGAAGGCTTTCATGAGGGGAATCACTGGGTTGTTGTGAGTTTTCCGGGCTGTATGGCCATGTTCCAGAAGCATTCTCTCCTGACATTTCACCTGCATCTATGGCAGGCATCCATAGATGCAGGCATTCTCAAACCTTACAACCTCTGAGGATGCCTGCCATAGATGCAGGCAAAATGTCAGGAGAGAATACTCCTGGAACATGGCCATACAACCCGGAAAACTCACAACAACCCTGAAATGCAATGCTTTGATACATTTAATGCTGGGATGCACCAAAGTCCCTGAAAGTCCCATAAACTGTTAAAAGGAACTGTGCTGACTCTGAGTACTTGGCATATCTTTGGAGCTGTAATCGAATGAAAGGAAAGAACCCAAGGGATGGATGGTTGAGATGGAAGATTGATGCTAAATGTCCTTTCTTTCCCCCATTGCACTAACATTGACCCTAAATGCTCTCTCTCATAGTACTGGCAGAGACTGGTGAGAGACAAGTCTCCAGAACTCACAGCTTTAACATCGCCACTGGCACAAGTCAATGGCGAATTCGTCTCCAAAGAAGAGTAGTTGCAGCCCTAAGTTGCCACTGGCTTGGAGTAACGGCGAGAGAAACATTTGCAAGAATCAGCAAAATCATGAATAGCTTCGGGAAGATATGGGACCATTTTCCAAAGGAATTCAACGACACAGCCAAGGGTCTTTCGTCCAGAAACGTGGTGCCAAAATGCTCTCTGTGATGGAGGCAAAAATGTGATTTAATGCAAGAAGGAAGCTAAATGGAGACAGTATGGGATGTGGATTTATTCTCTCCAGCCTTATGGAAATCCAGCGAGACCTGTTATGGTTGGAGGTGGAACTCAGCTTGGGATGCAAAGGCCGAGCGGCTGATGCATTCGTACCATCTCCAGACAGAATGATAGTTTTGCTACGTGGCTCAAGGAAGGAAGGAAGGAGGGAGGTAGGGAGGTAGGGAGGTAGGGAGGGAGGGAGGGAGGGAGGGAGGGAAGGAGGGAAGGAAGGAAGGAAGGAAGGAAGGAAGGAAGGAAGGAAGGAAGGAAGGAAGGAAGGAAGGAAGGAAGGAAGGAAGGAAGGAAGGAAGGAAGGAAGGAAGGAAGGAAGGAAAGAAGGAAGGAAGGAAGGAAGGAAAGAGATGGATCTGAAGTCAGACTGTACTTAATCAGTCTTAATCAGACTGTACTTAAATGGGGGAGCATGAGCCGGATGCATCCAAGGGTTGTCCTTGTGCCTCTTAGTGGCGGAATATATTTTTGTCCCTCGCTGACTTCTAGAGGTTGTGTGTTTTCTTATTTTGCATCTTTACTGGCCGATCTTCAGGTCATTTTAGACCCAGAAGAGGCCTTTTCTTAAAAACTGGAAATGCACAGTAATCGTGTCCTTTTGCAAAATGTTCCAGGGGACCAAAACAGTGTTGGGGAGCATTTGGGGGCCTGGAAGGTGGCACAGCCCTCCATGCTCTCCTTGCATAGGCCAATACCATCCAGGCAATACAACTTCCGAACTTCGCAACTCTCCTACTTGTGCCCCAAACACTTAATGCTTGTGAACTGGTCTGTGCCTGCCAAACCTGCGTTCATTTCTCAATCCTCCATGGAAAGTTTGCTGCCTGACAAGGGCGGAAAACCTTGCAAACGGAGAATGCATTTCCAGGGAGAGAGAGATCCAACTGTTGTTGCAACTGGGAACGGAGTGCCAAAACAACTGTCCAAAAAGAGATGCGTTCTAGCATTTCTTCCAAAACAAGTTTTTCATTTAGCGCAGTGCTTCTCAATCTGTGGGTCTCCAGGTGTTTTGGCTCACAACTCCCAGAAATCCCAGCCAGTTTACAAGCTGTTAAGATTTCTGGGAATTGAAGGTCAAAACATCTGGGGACCCACAGGTTGAGAACCACTGATTTAGCTCTTTCCTGTTTTGGTGATGCAAAGGGACTCACAACGTCTCCATCAAACAGTCACCAAAAGCTTTGGTGACCTTCCACCAATCCGTTTGCTTTTTCAAAGCTCTCCATCCGCATCTAGTGTTGCTACTGTTGATATGGGACAGAGGAGGTTATTGTTGCTTTCCAAAGGTTGCTTTCCTTGGGTCAAAGAAACCGGAGAACCCAAAGGAAAGACATGTGCATTGGAGTAATGTGTGCCCTTCTTTCCTACCCTTAGAAGACATAAAATAGGAAATAGCTGAGGAAATAGACTCTTGGATGGGTAAAGACACAAAGCTAGGACTTATTGCTGCCGAAGACGTCTACGGAGGATGATCCAGAGGCACAACAATGTGCTTCGGCTCCTCTAAGCGCTAACTGGTCCATCTCTTGAATGGGTAAAGACACAAAGCTGGGACTTATTGCTGCTGAAGACATCTACGGAGGATGATCCAGAGGCACACCAATGTGCTTCGGCTCCTCTGAGAACTAACTGGTCCATTGTTTTTCCAAAAGGCAATGTGTCTTTGTGGGAAGGGATAACATCCTCGTATGTTTACTAAGGACCACCCACTCATCACTATCGAGTGGAGACCATCCTCTCTCAAGAAGGTGGAGCTTTCTCGCAGGACCAGGTAACAAATCTCTTCCGATCCAGAAAAATGGAAGCAGCAATAGTCCTTGTATTTTGGTGCAGATTTTTTTCCCGGCGTAGTGCAACAGAGATTGCGCTTAAGGCCGTTGTGATGAGGCTGGTGCGTCTATTGCAGGCATGGGCCAACTTCAGCCCTCCAGGTGTTTTGGACTCCAACTCCCACCATTCCTAACAGCCGGTAGGCTGTTAGGAATGGTGGGAGTTGGAGTCCAAAACACCTGGAGGGCCCAAGTTGATATGTACAAAAACCTACTCGCCTTCGCATCCCCTCCGCAAAAAGTCCTCTCTTTCTCTGTCTTTCCAGTGTAAGACGACTAATACAAACATTTGCCGCTTCAAGCTCCACAGGAATCAGATAATAATAATAATATTAATAATATATATAACAATAGTCATAAAAATTGGGGAACGGGAGAAGGGGGGAAAAAAAGCTGGACTGATCCGCTCCTGATTTGTCGGGAGGCCGCTTCTCCTTGTGCATAGAGGAAGGAGTCCTCGAGGAAGAAGTCTGGAGCGTCGCGAGGAAGACGCAAATATCTCCAGAGGGACGGAGGCTCCCCCTGCGAGGCGGGCCACGTGCCATCGACGGCAGACGAGGCTGCAAGGCAACAGGGATGGATCGGGAACCGAACCAAGTGGGTTATTTGGACTCGGCCGGGTTGTATTCCGTCTCGCCAGAGGACACTTGGGAGATGCGCCGCGTGGAGCGCCACAGGCGCCGGTGGAACTGCCCCGTCCGCACCTGGTGAGACAGAGAGGAAAGTGTGTAAGACCACGGGGCTGAGGCAGATTGGGATTATTATTATTTGTTTATTTTATTTCTATGTATTGTATTTATTATTTATTTATTTACGACATTTATATGCCGCCCTTCTCACCCTGAAGGGGACTCAGAGCAGCTTACAAGTAAAAAGTAAATACAATATATTATATTATTACCATAGCACAATATTAATATTATATATTACATTGTACTATAACATTATATGGAACCCCAGGTCTCAGCCTTTGATTCTATGATTCTAGTCTCCAAGGCAGCAGAAAACAAGCTTGCTCCCTCCTCCCTATGACTTCTCTCACATACTTATATATGGCTATCATGTCTCCTCTCAGTCTTCTCTTCTTCTGGCTAAACATTTCCAATTTTTTAAGCCACTCCTCATAGGGCTTGTTCTCCAGATCCTTGATCAATGTCACCAGCTCCTTCTGGCCTTTGTGTGAAGGACTTTCTAATGTGCTCATGTTTGGACGGCAATGCCAAGTGTCACAAGAAATTCAGTGCAGATTTGACAAATATGAATTTAATATGATGTGTGGGAATGAATGGAAGGATGGATGGATGTATTTTGGAAACACCAGTATAATATTAAGGCCTGCGATGACTAACTACCTGCTTGCCGTTTTGAGATTAAAACCTGTTAATGAGATCTGAAGAGTAAACTCTGATAAGAACTGGGACAGTGATAAAGGAAATGTTTGCAACCTTCCCAATGTTAAGAAGGAAGTCAACATAAGATCAACCCCAAACAAGAAGATCAACATCTGGCCAGGAAACTGAGATGGATCCAGGATGGAAGACGTCTATCATTAATTTACAACTTTGGGACTACATCAGCAGAATATTCCTATAAAAGACTCAGTCTAATAATGCTCAAAGTGTGGCAGACCTGAGGAATCTGTTCCACCCACTATGCTCTGCTCCATGGGAAGGAGAGTACATGTCGGATTGTGGCACAGCTGGCTGAGTGTCAGCTGCATTAAGATCACTCTGACCAAAAGGTCATGAGTTCGAAGCCAGCCCGGGTTGGAGTGGGTTTCCAACCAATTGTGTGTACCTTTGCAACCCGAAAGACAGTTGCATCTGTCAAGTAGGAAAATAAGGTACCACCTTAAAGTGTGGGGAGGCTAAATTAACTGATTTATGAGGCCATAAAGAAGACTCCAGCAAAGCATTCCAGCGGGGAAGCATGCGGGGAATGCGGAAGTGCTTCATCAGCGTCGCAGATGGACGATGAAAGCGACAGCTCCCCTGGCGGCCAGAAAAAGTTAAATAGCCTCTGTGTATATGTTTGTATGTCAAAAATTGGCATTGAATGTTTGCCATATATGCGTACACTGTAATCCGCCCTGAGTCCCCTGCGGGGTGAGAAGGGCGGAATATAAAAGCTGTAAATAAATAAATAAATGAAAATAAATAAATAAATAAATAGTGTACTATGGAGTGGCAGATCTGCAAGAGAGCAGTCTGGTCACTTTGGGGCTTCTTTCTCAAGGGAAGAGGAAAAAGTGTGCTTTTGGAGTCTTAGATTTTGTGCAGGGAGTCAGGTTCTGCTGTATGGAAAACAGAGGTCTGGTCCTTAGTATTGTTCTTAGGGAAAGAAGTTTTGGCATCTCAGCATTTTGAAGTTATGGCATTATGGAAGTTTTGGGACTATACATTGGCAGGCTGCAGGAAAGCAAGGTCTGGCCTAACAGGTGCTTCTCCAAGGAGGGAGAAAAGGATATGGTAATATCTGGATGCATGTTGTTGGGGTTCAGCCTGTGTGTGAACCTGTACCTGACTCTCTGATTGTATTTCCTGATGTTACTGAAGGTGTCAATGATTCTGAGCGTGATGTTAATGAAGGTGTCAATGATTCTGAGGTCAATGTAGAAGATGACGGTTTGTGTAGTGAAAATCCTGCTGCTTTGGAAAGCAAAAGTACAAATTCCCATGAGAATGATTCAGAGCCAAGCGTTGAACTTTCACTCCCTTTGAGCTCTCCAGATAATAGGACACCTGGTTCCTCTAACGAGAATAGACGGGGCAGATTTGGCAAAACAGAGGCGAAGCGCAGAGTTTACGGAGGTCAGCTAGATTAAGAGAAATGCAAACACGGCCTTCAGGCACGTCACGAAATAGATTTCTATGCTTTAAAGACGCTTGGATTGGATGCCCATTTAGTCCAGGCATCGTTTCAGATTCATGAACATCTCTTGCATTCTCCTGCTTCCAGTGGCTTTGTTCCAAGGACTTTTTCTAGTGCTTCAAGTACAGTTAGTGGTTTGCTAACAGGTTCCAGGTTTTAGCAGTGTTACTGTGGGTTTTTGATATTGTTCATGGACATTTCTGGTTGCTGAGTTTTACTGTGGCTTTTTACCTTGCATTTTTCCTCTATTTTTGTACTCATCTTTCACCAATAAAAAGGATTGTTTTTTTTCCTGAAGTCAAGTGTGGTGGATTAGGGTCCAGTTTCCTGCTCTGGGTTGCAACACATGTGGATGAATGCGTGTACCTGTGTGTGAATGTCGAGTTAAATTGTAATTCCCCTTTGTTTGTTTGTTAACCAATGTAATTGCAAATCCAATGTCGTTGCATAGAATCTGTATGTCTGTATGTCCAATGTCATTCTTTGTCTAAATGTTTTCTGTAAATTGATATATCATCTCACACTGGAAATTGCAATAAAAAGAACCGATGCTTCAAAGTCATTCATGACACAAGCACATGACAGCGAAAGACGGAGAGGGAGGGAAGGGGCCTCTGCTCACCTCGGAGGGCTGCCCGGCCCCGACCACGATCAGCTTCCCGTCCTGCAGGCCGACCAAGATGTGGCTCTTCTCCTTCGTCACCGAGACGCTGTGGACGGGCACCTTCATGGCCAAAGGGGAGACGGCGGGACGGAGGCTGGAAGGACAGCAAAGAGGACGCAGGTGAAGTCGGTGATGCGGCACGCAATCCCACGTCATCACACACATGTCCATCCCCTGTGCTTAGCAACGCTATCTCTTCAGTTCCTTCACCCCTTTCCACTCCCTTCTCTCCTATTTTTAATCCACTTCCTTCTTGTAAAATTCACACTTTTTAAACCTTTGCTACTTCATCTATAGTTAAGGATGGGTTTAACTGATTATCAAAGTGGAATGAAGCATGGATGAGGGAGCTGTGGCCCCTGGACCAAATCTGGCCCTGTTTTGAGTCCAGACCGGGACCCATTTGGTTCTAGGTTCAGTCCATTTAGGGTCTAGATCAGTGTTCTCAACCTGGGGTCCCCAGATGTTTTTGGCCTTCAACTCCCAGAAATCCTAACAGCTGGTAAACTGGCTGGGATTTCTGGGAGTTGTAGGCCAAAAAATCTGGGGACCCCAGGTTGAGAACCACTGGTCTAGATCTATCTGTTTGGTTCTGATTCATCTTCCTTTGAGTCCAGATCTGGACCAGTTAGTTGCCTCTCTAATACAGCAAGGATAGGGAAGTGGAGGTCCGAGGACCAAATCTGGTCCCATTTGAATCCCGATTCTATAGGTTTATTTATTGATTTATTTACAGCTTTTATATTCCGCCCTTCTCATCCCGCAGGGGACTCAGGGCGGATCTCAATGCACATGTACATGGCAAATATTCAATGCCAGTGGTTCTCAACCTGGGGTCCCCAGATGTTTTTGGCCTTCAACTACCAGAAATCCTAACAGCTGGTAAACTGGCTGAGATTTCTGGGAGTTGTAGGCCAAAAACATCATAGACACACAACATATATAGACAGACACACAGAGGCTATTTAAGTTTCCAGCTTCATGAGAGTATGCTTTGAATTTTGGCCACCGGGGGAGCTGTTGCTTCACCATCCACTTGTGACACTGATGGAGTACTTCCTCATTCTTTTGCATGCTGCTGGAGAGTTTTATGGCATCGTAAATTAGTTAAATTAGCCTCCCCGCATGGAACTATGGCAATTCTAGTGGTACCAAACCATATTAATTTTGCAATGTAGATGCAAACAGGCACATGAGCTTTTGGGTACACCTGCTCTGTAGAAGGCATGAAGTTAAACACCACTTGAGCTGCCATGGCTCAATGCTAAGGAAACTTGGGAATTGTAGTTGGCATTCTTCAGTATTTACAGTATTTATATTTCGCCCTTCTCACCCCACAAGGGACTCAGGGCGGATCACAATGCACATACACAAGGCAAACATTCAAGCGGTACCTACATTTCCTACTTGACAGATGCAACTGTCTTTTGGGCTGCAAAGGTCAACAGCAAGCTAGACAAATGGCGGAAGCTCACTCCGACCCGGGCTGGCTTCGAACTCATGACCTTTCAGTCAGTAGTGATTTTAATGCAGCTGACTCCCAACCAGCTGCACTGCATCACAACCCCGTTCAAATCCAGACCTGGTCTGCTATCCTCTCCAAAATGGTCAATCTCAATCTTTGATACATCTCCAAAGTTTATCCAAGCCGGAAGAAGGGAAAGAAGGTTACCTCTGGAGATCCCGGATCTGCAGCGAACACTGAATGGTGCCCAGCACCACAAACTCTTCCGTGACGCACATTGCGCTGACCTCCTCGTCCAGGGAAACGGAGGAGAGGTGCTTGCCATTGACGGAGTAAAGGTGCAAGGCAAACTTGTCCTGGAAGACACACCATAAAGAGCACATTTGCAAAGTGCGTGTGGAAAGGATCTAGGAGCATATCGGCCACACCATATGGGCCATCTAGTCCAACCTCCTGACATGCACTAAAAGCACCCCCAACAGATGGCCATGAAGCCTCTAAGAGAGATCTACATGAGAGAATTGTGATGCTTGAGAGTGAGGCTGGATCTACATTGCCATATAGCTGATGATAAATCGGACTTTTTACAAACCCATCGAAGGACTTTTGAAGTGTTTGTGGCCTTCACTTTTGTGCCGTATTTATATATTTCGTATCAAAAGCATTGCATAAATTAGTAGGTGAACTATAAATCCCAGCAACTACAACTCCCAAATGACAAAATCAATTTTTTGAGTGAAGGACATACATTGGGTTGTTAGGTGTCTTGTGTCCAAATTTGGTGTCAATTCGTCCAGTGGTTTTTGAGTTCTGTTAATCCCACAAACGAACATTACATTTTTATTAATATAGATGTTATATATATAGTTAGAGCCCAAAGATATTAAGAAACAGGTATTGAGAATTGTGTGTTTATACATATTTATACAGGTATGTGCATATATGATTTAAAAAATGTGGGGAGAGGCAAGTAAGAAATAAAATTATAATTATAATTTTATTTTGTGTCAAAAGCATTGTGTAAGTCGTTATTATTATTATTATTATTATTATTATTATTTAGTATAAAACTGATAAAATAGAAAGAGTGCAGGTGGCTAAATATCTTTTGACCAAAAATGGGCAACAGCAATGGCATTGTCTGTAGCCTCCAACAATTCTTCCTCTGTACATGAGGCAGGGCGTAGTGGACAAGCATACAGGTGCGGAGTTGTCTGTTCTGCTCCACAGTCACCCAAAAGCATTGTTTTTTAAACATTTGAAACTTTTGTTCCGTAACACCCCCCCATTGCTAGGCTTAGAGAGCTCCCACTGCTCATAGACAATATT